AACCGTTCCAACATTTTAAGCCAGACGATTTCTGATCATTTGAAAGGTTAGTTAATTAAAAAGTCGAATAGTTTTAGCCTCAACGATTGCGGTGATTGCGAATAGTCTGCGTAAATTGGAAACTTGCTGAGTTGGTTAGTTTTAACTTTTTCTCAAAAAGTGCTCGATGGTATTCCAGTTTTATAGTTCGATTGTGTTCTTGCACGAATCGGGCAGCTTCCATTAAAGTTGATACTTCATAGGTCCTGTAGTTTGGCATATAAAACAAACGCTATTCAGTTCATTTACTATCCCTTTGTTACTAGGCATACCAAAGAAACTTTAAAACAATCATACGTGGACAATACAAATTTTAAAAGGTCCTATAAACGTGTAATATCAAAATGCTAAGAAAACACCGGTAAAATTTTTAATTTATTTAATTAATTTAATTAATTAATTCTCGTATAATATTTACCTTAGCAAGCAAAAAAATGTAAAATTTAAAAAAAAAACACCGGATTGCATCGACCACTGCACCACTCATATAAAAATTGAACATAACAAATTAGGAATCTTATCTTGGCGAACAGGCGTAGAATACGGAATATGAATATATTAGGGTCATATATGAGACAAACAAAATTAATATAGATTTGATGCGGAGCGTCAATTCGGAAACATAAAAACATATAAGACAAAATATAATGGTGTGGCACACCGTTGAAACTGTAACTGGGATTCAGTGGCTTCCTCAGTTTTTTTTTTCAATTACTACCGAGAAATAAATTAAACTGATATATTTTTAAATAAACGACTCTGTATATTTATGCATAATACGATTGAGTTTGTCGACCCTTGTAACCCATAGACAATCTTCCATGTATATAATTTTATTATCTCTGAAGTGTTGAACAAGTTACTAGCACTGACATACCTAATGTTCAATATTGAAAGCGCTGCTTGGTTCACAAAATTGTCAATTCACTTACGTTCATTACAAATTACAATTTTTATTACAGATTAAAATCAAATATCATGGATTTCGTGAATCCCGTGGCAATATTTACAAGAAAGAAAACAAGGAAATTGATGAAATTAATGTATTGGCTTCAATCCGAAAAAATCGAAGTAGAAAAGTAGAACGCTTGGGCTTCAGTTCCATAAGCCATCAATTTAAGATTTCTTTATTGCGTAATTAAAACTAAGTTCATTGTTTTTTTTTTAATCAATAATGACTAGTTTTCTTATATTAGGGGTCTAAAGATGTATATTCATTTAAGGTTAAATGAAATTTTTCATTTTTTTTTTTTTTATTGAATTAAGGTTTTTCTAAATACATATTTTTCAAAACATAAATATTAGTTTTAATATTAAAGACAACCATTTTTGTGATGCTCTTGATAAACTCATATTATTCAAAAATATACAGGCTGATCCATTCTTCTTTTCTTCTAGAAAATAATTGAAGGTAGAAAAAATCTGAGTATACCATCGAACTGTGCGTAAAAAACAGCAACAAACCAATTTTTTACTTTTCTAATAAGCGTATAAATAGCATATAATGCAAGTTTATATAAGATAAAACAATTTCGAAATATTTAAACTTTAACGCCCTATATATATTATATATTTTAACTAGGATTGCTTTTAGCTGCATTCATAATGGACCACCCTGTATACAGTTTCAGTTAAGCTCTGAAGAAATGAAGAGGATGATTGATGAAACCTCAGCAAGTTCGTTTTTCAAAGAAACTTACTAATCTTCAGGATTCCTTCTGGGTCTGTTATTGATTAATCAAAGTTGCTGGTTTTATTTCGAAGTAGGCTCTAAATTTGTAAGTTGTAAGTAACGTAAACGTAGCAAAAATACATGACTTTTTTTCTATTAAAAAATTAAATAATTAAATGTGTGGTAAAGAATTCAAAACCTACAAAAATCATATTTACATCCTGCTGCCAATGCCGTAGTCTTTATATGATGTTAGATGTTAATGATATTAGAATTTAAAACAATATTGTGAGAAACACGTCGCATGCTCTCTTCGTTCTGAGAAAATCTGCTCATTACATAAAGTTATTCTTTTTTCAACTAGTTGTCCGCTCGTTGCAATTTTTTTTTCCTTAATTCAATGAACTCGCGTCTGTCTTTACTTAGATGCCTGACCAGGTTTAAGTCCGCGGTTAAAGTCGGACAACAAACACAATAACAACACCCAAGGCTGCCGGTGGGAACCGAACCTACAACCTGCTGCAAGTTGAGTTGGCAGGTCTAACGACTTACCAACCGAGCCATCCCCGATCAAAAATTATTCTTTTTTCTTTTAGTTGCACGAATTGCTATTTTTCGATTATTTAATTATTATTGCATTGTACAAATCTTCAGCTCCATTAAGCAACAATATTAAAACAATGTTTTAATTAAACAAAGTAGCACCAACAAGTTTTGGATTTTTATATGCGAATATTATAAAATATTAAATTATATGTTTAGTATAAAACATATGTTATTATTGCGAGATTCTTATATATATGGTTATCAAATTATTTTATCCCAAAATTTTAAATGCGAATGTAATTTATAATTATTGCAGTTACAATTATACGAGGTATCTCTTATATATATAATCTCATACTTCGTTTTGCTATTGTGTATTTATAGCATTCCAATAATTTCCGAATTTTTTTAATTTTTGGGTACATTTTTAGATTTATTATTTTCTTCCGATAATTTCTGCTAAATACTATTTAGAGCGGTGTTGGAAATATTAAAAACATCGAATATAAATATTTATCTTATATAAATATTCAATATAAATGGTTGTCTAATGTAATAGGAAAAGAGGTTGTTGGAATTTGAAAATTAAATCATTTGCTAAATACTTATCTAAATAATTGGGTAATAAAGTATTTTGATTTTATCGTCTAATAATATTATATTAATATTAATATAACGCCGCAAGTCCGCAACATATAAAAACTATTTTGAACTATTTTATTGAACAATTTCAGTTCTTGACTTTTGTTTTTACTCAAACCAAAATAAATGTGAAAAATAACATTTCTATATTTTAGTAAAAATGATCATTTTGAAATGAATTTTGATAAAAGTTATTCGATAAAATGTCCTTTATAATAGTAAGTTATTTTTCTTCATTGTCCCCCAAGATAAAGTTGAACAAGGAATGAGAGGGATAAAAATTAAAGTACGGAATATTCAATAATGTGTCACCACTGCCACCGAACAATATTTTGATATATTACTTTTTTTAATCTACCTAAAAGTAAGTCGTAACAACGTTTTTGTAAATATACTCTCAAAGTGTATAAATCTCTGGACTAAAGTATCTTTTTAGGTGATTTTCGACATATTCTCTTTTGCTTCGGGATAAAAAGTGTTTCTTTAGTTCCTTGGATACCATCTAAATTTTTTCCCAAATTCATTTAAAATAATCCCCTTTTCAAATTCCTGCTCTAAAATCCATTTTACAGTGTCGCTTAAAGACGTCAGTACGGCTGCGAGCCACTTCGGATATTTCCTGTATATTACTCACGGGTTTGGGAGTTATCGGATGTTTTCAGATATATTAGCCAGGGCTTTGGTTTGTCAACTCTGATGGTCAAAATACGCATATAGCATGCAACACGTTGTAAACTACTTCAGTCACTCATGTATTAAGCACTCGCTCCGTTCGTGCCAAATAAACTAATATGGCGTTTATCAAACTTGTTGAGTAATATACAATTAAAGATTTCTGAAGAATTTATATGGAAATCTGAGACAATGTTATTGTCTCTTTTTTAGCTCCCCTTCTCTCAAACAGTATATAAGTGGGTTCAGAATAAAATGTGAGCAAGCTTCACTTAAGCTCTAAAGAAGCCATCAGGATGATTGGCGAAACGTCAGCTATCTTTATATATAAATAACCGATGTTAATAACTAGATGATTTGAAGATAGAAGATAGAAGAAAATGTTAATTTTGACAAGTAACGAATGCCGCTCTCATTGCAGTTTTTCTGTGTTCTTTATAATTTTATAAAAATTTAGAAAATCCATATTTTTATTAAAAATAAAATAGTAACTTCTAATTATTCCCCCTAAATATTTCCAAATAACTAACATCGGCCCATTTTAGACCAACATTAAACACACACAACACAGTAATGTGATGCCCCAGTTGCCCTTGTAAAAGAAAATAATTGAAAATTACATTAATTTCTAAATTAACAGTTCTTCTTAATTTGGTACAATAATTTATTTATCTGCAAATTAGTCAACTGTCAAGAACTTAAAAACAATTTTAAAAAATAATATTTAAATATTTGTATTTTTAAGTGTATTTAAATATTAGTATTAAGTTGTAAAAAATGTGGTTTAGATTTTCATTTAAAAAATATTGGTTATTAGGGAACCCCTGAAAGAGAGAAAACAATTTTTGCACCAAGTGATGGAAGAATATACATGAAGTTCAAATTGAAAAATGTTAAAATTAATTTCAAGCAATGGCAGATTGGGTAAATTTTTTTGCCAGAGCATTGAAGTTATTTGTTTGAGTATTCCATCAGTTACTTCCAATTAATTTACTTCCTAATGAAAATTTTGACATCTGTTGGTAAATTATCTTTAAGATTAGAATTAAATGTTAAAATGCTGTCAAAAACTTAAATATTATTTTACGGTGGGCCCAATAGAATAGTACATTTAAAAGACATTATGCTGCTACAATACCTTTAGGAAATTGCTTTGAAAAAGCAACAACAGAGCAAGCAGAGTAGTCACTAACATGGTAATTGACTAACTCAATTAGTGTGAGTCATCTTTATTCTTATGTTACCTTATAGTATGCAAACTCAATTTTGAAATTCTTGAATTTAGCACTACATTGCTAGAACTTCTGAGATGAGACAGACTGAGATAATTAGTGCTGACCAATAGAAATCTAATTTCTCAATTTGAAATTGATTTGATCAAAATACACACACATATAATAAATTGAAACACTGAAAAAGAAAAACATACCTGCTGCACTTTTAATGGCTTCAATGCATTTTGTATGTCCACTTTTTTCTGCCAATTCTAGTGCTCTACAACCACTAGAATCTGGAATTTGAAAATCTGCATTATGCTCCAATAACACCTTAACATTATGATCGTGGCCATATTCTGAACTTAAGTGAAGTGGTGTCTGAAAAGAATGATTAAATTATAATTTAAATATTACTCAATCTTAATATCAGTGAGCTACTTTATTTAGATATGCACACAATATTTACTTTATAGTCACCACGTGGACCACAAGTCAAGTTGGGATCAGCTCCAGAATTTAAAAGAATTTGAAGACATTTTGAATTTTCAGTAATTGCAGCAGCATGTAATGGTGTTCTTCCCCAGCTATCTTGTGAATTAAGAAACACTTGTTGGCCTCCTTCAAGTAAATCTTCTAAAAGTTCCGTGTTATCCCAAAGTGCTGCCTGCAAAAACAAAAATTAATTAATAAATATCCTCCTAACATTTTTTGGTTTTATTTATTTATTGCTTAAATTTGGCGTTAGTAAAAAATATTTAAAATACAAAATTAATATATAGCGCGAAGTGTAAATTAATCAATGTTTAGAGGTACCGCTAGGAATCCCAAGTTTTTCTTATCTAAAACATACTAAATTTTTAAAAATAAGAAACCATACCCACCTGATGAAGTAAGCGACCAGGAAAATCTTCATCTTCAGGGGAAGAATCTAACATTTTGTGCACAGTTGTAAAACGTTAAAGTGTCTGCAATTAATTTGAAATTTATAATCTAATCAATAATAATTACTAACTTTTGTTTGGAAGTACACAAACTGTCAACAACTTTTAGGTTAGTTGGTTGTGCCTTTCTGTCTTCTTATCTTAACTCGGTCAACCGAAATTTCTGTTTTTGATGTACGTAACTTTGCCACAGAATACATAGACAATACTCTAACCACTGGTACGGTTTAGAAAATATGTTACCTTAGTATTGTGAAGATGTGGTCATCTGATATACAAAGTTAATTTTCTGCAGTTTGATTTGATTGTTTTCGATAAGTTTTATGGTTTCTGTCCATGATTATTTCTTAGTCAAATTTGTTGTTATCTCATAGGAACGCAAGGCAATTGAACATAGTCCAGATTCATTGCCAACAAAAGTTCTTCAAAAATGTGTGAACCTTCAGTTCTTTCTCATGGACCTCCAATTTTGCCTCCAACACCTGCAGGGCTAGAATCGCTGTATTGTTTGTGCAGAAAAATATATCCCGATCAAGCAAATCCATTGCAAGTTACAGCTTTATTAAAATACTGGTAAGTTTGTAATTACAATTACCTAATATTTATTAAAATTTGTATTCTGTAAAACAATAGTAATTAGCAATTAGAGTAAAGAGGATGTAAGTAGAGCTTGGTCATCTAAAAAAGCAGTGGACATAAATCAGCCTTTGTTACTTGTTAGATGTAGTTCTAATTTTAGCCTATTCCCCTTATACACACACCACTTCCTGTTTCTATTTATAGGTTTATATATACATTATTTACTTTTTTAATTTTGTGAACTATTTTTATTAATTACTTACAATCTTTTTCACTTTACCATTTGAATTACATACATATGCAGATAGGTATATTCACTTACCTGTAATTCATTTGTAAAAAACAAAAAGAGAGTATCGTATATAGATATGGGACTGATTTTTAGTTAATTTTCATTCCATGCTACTTTCTATAGAGTCTTTTTAACACTCCCTAATACACATAATACTTGACCTAATATTCATAGTATTGTGTCTGCTTATTCATTTACAAATTATTTACTGTCAATTTCTAATATGAATAAAATGTAAGGAATATCCCAAATGGGCAAAATACAATTACAATTCATTTTTATTAAAAGTTCAGGAAGCCTTCAACAAATGGGTGCAACATTTTTTAATTATTCAGCTGTGTTCCAGGTTGGGTGGTCCTGATCCCTTGGATTACATTTCAATGTATGCCAATCCAGGAGATCCAAATGAAAATATTCCTCCTCACTGGCATTATATTAGGTAAATAGTTTTTAATTTACGTAAACAACAAAATTATTTTTGTCAATAAACTTCTCATGTGTTAAAATTCTAACCTATTTGATTTGTATTTAAGAGTTGTTTAACCACTTTGAAATTGTGTTACAAAAAATGTCTTAAATATTTTTGATAGATGCTGTTCTTAATAAGCTTTATTAGCACTAAAATTCAATGACAAAGCACTGAATTTGTAATCTAATCACGTAATGGTAACAAAACAAAATAGGTATAAAACTACATTCACAACAATAATTTGGAACTTATTTAAGCATTCTATGTTTTTGAAATCTTTGCTTAACATGTCACTTTTAATAATTTCTTTCTAAATAAGTTTATTAATTTCTATTTCTGTCAACTTTCTACAGTTTTGGTTTATCAGATCTTCATGGAGATGGTAGAGTTCATGATGTCTCTGGTCCCAATGGTCTCTCTGGTTTTGGATTTGAACTTTCATTTAGGCTTAAGCGTGAAGCAAACGAAGCGTCTCCTCCAACATGGCCCGCAACACTAATGCAGTCACTTGCAAAATATGTATTTCAGTCAGGTACTGATTAACTTGTTATTGACAATATGTGATGTGTTGGTATTTCAGGAAATATCTTATGTTCTGGTGACCATGTTTCCTGGCATTGTGCCTTAGACAATAGTGAATCTAGAATCCAACACATGCTTATGACTACAGATGTGCAATTAAATACAGCTCACACTCCATTTGGTAGTGTGGATTTTGTTCAGATTGTTGGTATATGTGCGGATGAACTTAAAGCAGCTCAGCAGTGGAATGGTGCCGGCGTTCTTGACATCTTAAGAAGAATACCAGAGTATGTATATTGACACAGGATGTCTTTATCACAGTGAACTAAATTCTTAATTTAGAATTATTTTTAAGGTTAAGTTATTTTTAAGCCAACTGATGAAATATTAGAAACATATATTATTTGAAAAGAAAATTACAACAAATTAGGAGAGCACACTAAAAAACCATTTAATACATTTTTTACACCCTACTTGCAATGTCCATAAAAAACGTTAAACTTTCGTATTTTCACTATTATATCACTGACTTTGGAGTAGGTCATTGGTAAAAAATATACTGACAGAAAAGTCTGTAAATTCATATAATGTTTGTCTACTGTGTAATGACATTGAACATGATATCCGATCATCACCTACCCACCAGTTGCGGATTTCGAATTCTGCACCACTAAAATCTAGGTTTTGTCTGCGGATTTTTTTTCCATTGTCGATGAATGACACTGTAATCGCAAAACATACTACAGGGAGAGCCAAAGTTGTTAAAATCACCATCCTCCCCACCCCGGTGTAGGGGTGTGAATTTATGCACATGTCCTGAGGATGGCCCAATAAAAAAGCTGAAAACTTGTCAGCTTTTTTTGATTGTCACCCCACCTCCGTTTCAATGAATTGAAAGTTATATATACTAGGAATGCTATAATTAAATCAAACAGGAAGGGCCACTTCTTTTGGCCTGTACTGATGTGGCTGGAGGAGATCCATCAATGTGAACGCAAAAGAAAGAACGCTTGAGAAAATGAAAGATAGTTGCATGAAGAATCTTGTAAAATGTAATTATTCTTTCTTAACAGCAGGTAAAACACATTCTTGGATCTCGTACAATAGGATTTTTTGAAGTTCATTTTAAATAATAGAGAGGTTACAGTGAATTGCTTCCATGATTAATTTAAAAGCAAAACATAAATCTGTCTCTGAGTTTCTAGAGACTCCATATTAAGGCGACTTAGGATGGCATTGTAATTAGTAGGTTTATAATTTTTTTCTGCACAGTTTCAATGTTGCCAATATGCACTCTATAAAAAGGAGAATACAGTCGGCTTGCATACTCCAACAATTCATGAACAAGGGCACATACAATATTTTAAATATAGTTGAAAATAAATATGCACTGCAAGCATGTGCACATTTATAAGATTGGTAAAAGAGACTTCGATTTCAAGGATTAGTCCAAGATTCTTAACTTGCCTTACACTCTATAAAGGAATTGAATTTAATTTACATTCAAACTCATTTACTGAAGTTTGTCAACACAATGGGATGCACAGGCTGAAGGGACTGGCAATTTGTTAATGATTTTATACCTAAAAATGCATTAACTTCATTATCATTAAAGTCAACATAATTTACATCAAAATTAAACGTGGGTCCATAGTGCAATCCCTGCGGTACACCAGATAAGACGTCAATATAACCTGATATTAGATTATTGATTTTAACTTTTTTTACGTTTAGTCAGAGAGCTCTAGATCCTGTTTACAATATGGTTACCAAAATCAAAGGCTCTTAGCTATTATTAACTTATGACTGACTTTATTCAAAGTCTTTGAAATGTCTGTATAAATACCACCAGCCCAAAGATTATTTGCATAGGCATTCAGTTGTCTTCTAGAGAGTAAGGAGATTTCTTACTACGGATCAGCCTGAAATGGTGGTTGTCATTCATAACTTGTCGATTAAATTATTATATGTAAAAATATGTAAATACGGAGTCCAAAAGCTTGGGTATTGCTGACTTTATGCATGACCTCGATAATTTTTAATGTCACTTCCCTCGCCTGATTTAAAGATTGATGTAATAAAACTATCCTTCCAGAATTTCGGAATTGTTACACTATTTAACCAAAGATTGATTAGAAAACGTCCAGGCTTCGTAAGTGAAAAAATATGTCTTCCAAAAAACTGAATTAATGCCATCAGGGCCACTGGAAAGAAAAAAAAACTGCAAATTAGTTAATTGTACTCTAACCATCATCAAACGACACAGTAACGGGTGGCTAAAAAATCACAATTTTTAAAATCGAGATATTCTAACTTATATTTTAAGTGATTATTCAAAGAGACAAAGAATTCACCATACAATGTCTGCCAGGGAAAAATTTGGACAAATGACTCTTATTTTACTGATTTGTCGAGAATCACAAAAAAATTACTGTCATGTTTGGTGTCATTGAACCGTTTTTTATTCAATCTTTAAAGGCGTTTTTTTTAATCAAATTATCAATCTCCAGATATTCCACTTGTTAAGACACCCGGTACTTATTTTTTTACTCCACTTAAAATACTTTTGTAGTTAATGGATAATATACAAATAGTGTAAAATCATAGTTCTATTTGGTGATAATATTTGCAGAGCTGGTGGTTCTTGGCATATTACCGATATGAGAAGGGGTGAAAGTATTTTTGAATTAGATTTAAATGCTCAAGAGGAAGTTGAAAGAGGTTTTGAATTAGAAGGCTCAAATTTAAGCGGTGTCTCGGCGAGATGTTCTTGGTCAGATCTGGACTCTTCACCCCTGGATATGAAGCACTTAAAAGACAAGGACTGTGATAAAGCTACTGATAAATTAAAGTCCAGCTTGCAGCAGAGTATCTCTGGTATAATAATGAATTGGATTACGTTTATATAAGTCTGAACAGTTAAATTTGTAGGGAGTTGTGGTGGTCTTGAGCCTATGGAATATTTGAAAAAGTTGGACGGGATACATTTGGCATTCAATTTGGAAGCAGGCAGTTTACTACCATTAGCAATAAGGTATGTATACCGTATCTCGTTTTGTTAACAAGTTATTCAGCAATTTTAATATTTCTAAGGGGTCGTGTGAAGCATGGTAGACATTTCACATTTAAGTCCGTCTTGGGAGAAACGGCGATAACACTGGTTGCAAATTCGGTCACAGGGACCCTAGTGACTGGCGATCATCCATTTGTCGCTCAGGGTTCGTGGCTCCAAGTTTTGATTCCAGACGACTTAGCTCAAGATATGGCAATTACCTTTCAAGCTTTGGCTAGTCCTGAATCTTTGAGCCTTCCGAAAACGTTCTCCTGGCCCGATCGACATTTGTCTATTACAATAGTAGCTGACAAATTATAGCTAGGATTAAGGCTGCTCTTGCATATTTGTTCTACTTGGGCAACATTTATTTTTTTAAATATTTAAATTATTTGTATTTATTTAATAGATTTTAGGGACTTTTGATATATTATTTATGTTAGAACTAGTAAGCAACCAGGGTGACTAAACACAGGTCATTTTTAACTGAAAATAAATTTATATTTACAATACAGAGTTGAATTTTGAATGTGGGTGCATGTAATTGAATACGAGGACTACCTTATATTTTCCTAGTAAGAAATTCCTATACTTGATTTTGTTTATAAAACAACAATAATTATTAGTCAGTTGTGGTATTTTCAATTTCCTACGGTGTAATTTAAAGGATGTCTTAGGATCAGGGCAAATTTGAGGGTCAAGTAAAAAATTTACAATTATTTATTTTCTTAAATTTCTATATATTTTACCACCGAAGCTAAAACACAAACTCAACATTTCTAGTGTAGGTATTCTAGTTATTATGTAGTTGATATCAACTGCTAATGATCACTCAGATGTGATTAAACCATTAAATAATATCCTTTGGGGACCATAAATAGCATAAACCTGATGCCTGAGCCTCAGAACGGAATGATCTTCCTTGCGTGCCTCTAAATGCCTAAATTTTACCTTTTTTAAACAACGATCTTCACATACTGGTTTTTTTTCCTGAAAATTTATTGAGTTCTGGGTATATTTTTGTCGAAACTGTCGAATTGAACTCTCGGCGGTTAATATTGCATGTAGGTAATTCCCGCTACCTAGACAGTAAACAAACCCAGTTTAATGGAGTCAATATACCAGTTAAAAAATTAGGCAACCCCAATGTAAGATCATTTGTGACATTAACTAGGATGTCACGTATGACCCCAAATCTTTTTCGAAACATGTAAATATTTTCCAGAGGTCAAATGCATCCCAGTAATATGTATGTGGGTGCTGAGGCTGCCGACTGTGGTCAGGATATTGTTGGCTTGTTTGTAAAGCACTTTGCTTCTACTTATGAAAAATATGAGCGTGTGATTCCTAATTATAGTTTTGACTACAGTTTAGACTTCTATGTTTAACTTACTGATGTGTTTGAGAGTATTATGAACTTACAGATTGGATTTTCGCATGGACCGGACGGGATTCCATCAGTCTTGATTAAGAATTGTGTGTGTACTTTGAGTAGGTCACTACAGCGTATATTTAATCTGTTATGGTCTTCAGCTATTTTTGCTGACGTTTGGAAGGTTAGCTATTTGGTACCGATACGCAAGAGCGGTGATAAGAGCGATGTCGCTAATTATAGAGGCGTTTGCCTACAGCTGGTGGTTCCTAAACTGCTAGATAAGTTATTTGGTGGGACACTTTGGTGGCATTGCAGGGGAATTCTGGCTGATTAACAGTATGGATTGGTGCAGGGTAGATCTACCGTAAAAAATTTACTTACCTACCAACCATTTTTATTGAACGCCTTGTGAGTCATGTGCATCTTGTTTCTAAGCTTAGTGCTATGGGGCTGGCCTGGTGCAGTGGATTCAGTGCTTCCTGTGTGGTGGTACAGAGTTGGTTCGTATTAATAATTATGTCTGAGGTAAAATTGATATTTTTTCGGGAGTCCCCCAGGTTCTCACATTGGACCCACCCTTTTTAGGTTGTTTAGAAACGAAATTGATAGTGTAGTTTCAGAGTCGCAGTAGTCAGGTGTCAGAAGGGTGGGATCGAGCGAGGATGCTATGCTGCTTCAGAGGGACGTGGACAGTGTTTGTATGTGGTGTAATATTAATAGTCTTGCTGTAGTATTAACTTTAGTCATTCGTTGAGAGATCGAGGCCGTCAGTAGCATTAAAGACTTTGATGTTTTCTTGGATTCCAAACTAAGTTTTGTGACACAATTTTTTTCCGGATATAGTAAACAGGTCTATGCGACTCACTGGGCTTGTTGTAAACAATAGTGGCCAACTTACTCCTCTATATCTCATTGGTTCGCTTTAGACTGAAATATGCATCTGTGGTATGGTTTCCATATTATACCTGCCATATAAATAACATTGAAGCCGTTCAGACAATATTTTTAAGATCTTTGGCTTCAAATGGGCTTATCAATATCTATAATTGGTATCAGATCAACTATAGTATTATAACTAAGGCCTTCAATATTGATACTCTTCAAACCAGAAGATCCCAGAGTGATTTATTTTTTTCTCTTTAAGATTTTGAATGGTTGGTATTATTGTCCAGCTCTTTTCAATAGCATACAATTTAACGCATCTTCCGCTTCTGATTATTCCACTTAATCCTATTTATTGTTATTGTTATATTTTGTTCTTGTGTGATTATACTTGTTATACTGCTGTCTTTCTCTCTATTTGTCTTTAATGAAAGTAAAAGTTTTGTAATTTGGTTAAAATTAATAAATAAATAAAAAATATTGGAAATTTAACATACGGGACGAACCACTGTACGTAAACGTTGTGTTCATGTCTTTACAAGCAACGCGCTTAATTCCAAAACTAAAACCTAACCAAACTTAAGGAAAAAGACAAGCTATACATTAGATGGAAAAAAATTAACGAGTACTGTAAAAACGAATATAAAAAAGCAAGAAATGAATTAGATAACTTAAGAACAACGCTCCAGAAAAAATACGCTGAAAAGAAGTTTAATGAAGTAAAAGAGAACTCTAAGAAGATCTGGAAGATTTTAAATGAAATAACGAACAAAAAGGAAAAGAAAACCAAAAGAAAACATCAAATAATTAATGCAACTGGACAACCGACTAAAGACGACAAAGAAATAGCTAAATAATTTAAAATACACTTTTCAAAAATTGGAGAAACATTAGCCAACAAAATAAAGCAACATTCCGATACCAATTTTGAAGAAGAAGAAGTATATTATGTATATATATATATATATATATATATATATATATATATATATATATATATATATATATATATATATATATATATATATATATATATATTCTCACGTATTGATTCACGGATGGAAAAATGTGATGAAACTATATTCCGGGATATCATCCGTTCGCTCGTTGAACTCCGACTGGAATCTTGCATCCGACTGGAATCCTGCAGACGTTTCGCCAAAATCTCACTTGGCATCTTCAATGCTCGCGCTCCGAAAACACTTCGAGTGTTCGAAACGTCTGCAGGATTCCAGTCGGATGCAAGATTCCAGTCGGAGTTCAACGAGCGAACGGATGATATCCCGGAATATAGTGTCATCATATATATATATATATATATATATATATATATATATATATATATATATATATATATATATATATATATATATATATATATATATATATATATATATATATATATATATATATATATATATATATATATATATATATATATATATATATATATACAGTGTTCAAAGTGTTTTCGGAGCGCGAGCATTGAAGATGCCAAGTGAGATTTTGGCGAAACGTCTGCAGGATTCCAGTCGGATGCAGGATTTGCAGGATTCCAGTCGGATGCAGGATTTGCAGGATTCCAGTCGGATGCAGGATTCCAGTCGGAGTTCAACGAGCGAACGGATGATATCCCGGAATATAGTGTCATCATATATATATATATATATATATATATATATATATATATATATATATATATATATATATATATATATATATATATATATATATATATATATATATATATATATATATATATATATATATATATATATATATATATATATATATAAAGGAAACGATTAACTCACTAAAAAATATTTGTGCCCCAGACATCGATGGTGTGACAAAAAAAGATCTGCAGGCACTAATCAATATCATTGAACAAAAAATGTTAGAACTTACTAATATTGGCTTGCGAAATGGTAACTACCCTGAAGAACTGAAAGGGGATAAAATCATCCCGATATATAAAAAAGCAGCGCACGACGAAATAATTACAGGCCAATCTCCCTACTCAGCACTTTGTCCAAGGTATTGGAAAAAAATTATTAAGGAAAGATTAATAAAATTTATCGAAGCTAAAATTAAATTTGGCAACCATCAATATGGATTCCAAAATAGTACACAAGGAGCGGTTGTTGATATGCTCGAATTTATGACCAATGATGGATAAGAACATATATGTAATAACAGTGTTTCTTGATCTTCAAAAGGAGTTTGATACTGTCAATATAGAGCTAGTGATGAATAAATTAAATAAAATGGGACTTCGTGGGGTGTGATTAAATCTTATTCTACAGCCAGAGAGCATTGTAGAACAATAAATACTGTATTTGCTGTATGTACAAAGCCTAAAATATGTGAACTTAAAAACAAGGTACTTCAAATTCGCTGATGACTCTGCATTAGTTTACTCGGGTGATAGTGCGGAACAGCTTGAAGAACTTGTTAATAAAGATTTACAGCAGTATTTTGAGTCGCTGTGCTATAACAGACTTTCCTTAAACGCGCAAAAAACAGTTTACATGATATTTAAACAACCAGAAAAAGCACCTTGTAATCTAAATATAAAAATAAATGAAGCCGCACTCAAAAGAGTGTGTGAATATAAATACCTAGGGCTAAATATCTCTGAAAATTTAACCTGGGATAAACATATTGAGACTGTAATTGGCAAAACTGTACCAATGCTACCACACCTGGAATACTTGTCAACATGCTGGGGAAACACCAGCATAACACAGCTAAACAAATTACAAAGGCTACAAAATAAAAGTAATATTTGGAACCTTATTCAAAAATATGTGAATTTAAGATACTAGGACAAACAAAATTAATTTACTTAATTCAAAACTGATTAAAACAAATGTGGAACAGAACAACAGCCCAAGAAACAGTAATAAGTTAAGAAATGTATACCTACGCAAGGACCAAAAAGAAACAAGACTCGCCAATATACAGAAGCATTCAAGTGTTTAATGAAATACCACAAACTCTATTAAAGGACACAAAAAATGTGTCATAACCTTAAAGACTTTATAAGAAAAAATAGAATATAAACTTATATTAACAAACTATTACATTTAATTTTACTAGAATATTATATAAATTTTTTCTGTTACTGTTTTTGTAAGGCCTCTGGGCCAGTTTTATTGTTAACTATTTAGAGGTCTGAAAAAAAATTAAAAAAATAACTTCTGTAGATGTTGAGCGAAGTTTTTATATTTTTAAGCATATGTTTACAGATATAAGACAATTTCCTTTTGGCAAAATTTAAAAACATTTAGTTATTAGTTGTTTTTATAACTTAAAGAATAGTTTGTTAATTTACGAATTGTATGTTGTGCAAGTTGCTATTATCTGAATCTATCAATGTTATTGTTAAATTATTAATGGAATTGTATTTTATTATAATTTTTTTCTACAATCGCAAATAATGTTTCGGCACTGTAAGATTTTTATATTTCAGATTTTATGTTTTGGAATTCGCTATGTAAGAATCAAAAATTAAAAACTCAAGTTCAAAGATCAGTTCAATCGACAAAGTGGTTTGCAATTATTTTTTGTGGTTGCATTTGTTATATTCTGAATTGTGACCAAATGGCAACTTCGTTAAAACACTTTTGAACTTAAAGAAACTTAAAGATATTAAGCATTCCATCACAAAATACACTTCGCCACAACCTTCCAAAGACAATGAGTCCGAAACAACCACATATCAAAAGTTTATAAGAACCAAAACCAAACCAAACCAAAAAACCAAAACCAGGTTTATCCCTTGTCTAAAAATTTCTCGACATCTTCAATTCAACAACAACCGACGCAGGAGGAATCCAGAAGTTTTGTAAATAGTAAGTATAGGAGAGTCACTGAGCAAAATATCACCTTTTTTAAAATACGCATTGCGGTTTTCCCAATTTAGGGTATAGCCAGGGTATCAAATTAATGGAAGAAAATTAGTGCAAACAATTTTTCAGCTGGACTTTATTTTAAACATACACAAATTATAAATAGTTTTTATTCTTACAATTATAGTAAACAAAATTTGACACAATGTAAAAAAATCACAAAAAGTTCCATTTTAACACACAATTTTGTAAATTTTGGAAGATGTATCATTTATTACTCTGGCAAAATACTTAAAAACATCGTGATCTTTATACAAAAGTATATCTAAACTTTCTATATATCTTTAAACGTTTTAAACATTCACTTTAACGTAAAGTTTTTTCTACAAATCGTCCCTTATTTTGTTTCCACTGACATCGTTATAATTGTAATACGCTTTGAACCACATCTAACATCTATCTTCTATCACAGAACGCAGTCGAACATTTGAAGGGAGCTCGTTATAACTTCATCTTTAAGGCAAGATTCCATAAATTCTTCGATGGTTATTACCCCGTCTTGATTAAGATCTAATTTCCGGAATACTCTGTCTATCTGTTCGCGTGCTTTACGATCGTCTTCCACCTTAAACAGAAATAATAGTAATATTTTTGCAACAAAACGCTTCCTTAAAAAAATTAATAAAAATGAAAAAATAATATAAAATTTTAATACATAAAAATTTATTAAAATGGACGTAAAAGAATGTTACAGAACAAATTCAAAATTTGATCTACAAAGTTTCTACCTTTTTCAAAAGTAAAATCTGCACACCAAGCATCTGTAGTACCAATAATACACTGTGGGGTAAGTAGAAGAGAACAGAAAGTGACATTTTCCGCACTCTTATACATTAGAGTAGAGGATAAAAAAACATTCAAATATTGTCTATTGTCAGATTTATGCTGATATGTAATCATTGTACAAAACTGTTTGTCTCCTACTCTAAAATACCCACTAATCGAGTAGAAAGTGTTATTTCAAAACATCAGCTTTGTTATTAACCGTCGCGGGCTACTCCGGATATTTTCTGAATTTTAGTCACCGGTTTGTTTGTCAATTCTTAGGGTCATGTCACACGTCACTCGGAAACGGATATTCCTTGTTACACAAAATTGTGGCATGATCTACTATGCTGCTATAGAAACTATATCAATAATATATTAATAATAATAATATTCAAAATTAATAAAGTTTAAAAAAAATGCAAATATAATTATGGAGCAATATTGAACAATTAAATATCTAGTTTTGAGTATATCGAGGATTTCTTATTGTTCTAATTAAATTATATTTGTGTATCATTTTATTATTGTTATTGTGGTCAGAAGGTGGAAAATTTGTTGTGCTGTTTACTGCAAATAAATAAATAAAATGAAATAGTTATTTGCATTTTTATTTGAAACCACTGCAGAACACCAATATTTCGCTTTATTAGGTATTATTATATTATTGTTAAAACCTTAAATAAATTATAGTGGTATTTTATATTTTATATTTATATTTATATTTATATTTCGATTGATGAATTTGTATATATTGAAATTTATAGACCCTTTTACCGCCAATAAATAAATGAAATGATCAAAATTAAATAAATATGCCTCCTTTTTATTTCAAATAAAATAACACCAATGTTTCGCTTTAGGTGACTGATATAATTATTTGTTTTGTTGTATGTTTGTTTGGAATGGAGTACCTTATAATTTTATATTTCCGTTAGTTAATTTGTAGACTTCTTTACCGCTAATAAATAATTGAAATAATCTTTTTTATTTAAAATTGAGCAACACCAACGTTTCGCATTAGGTGACTGTGATATATTGATTTGTTATTTCTTTGTTATTGAGGATTCCTTATAATTTTATATTCCGGTTAATGAATTTGTATATACTGAAATTTGTGGTAGTGTGTACTGCTAAGAGGTAAATAAAATAAGATATTTATTTGCATTTATTTGAATAGATTTGCAGCGCAAATCACAGAGGAAAGTTTGAAATGACTCCCCATAGCTTACATATAAAGAAAAGCATTCGATATCGGCCCAACTACTAAAATATTTAAAACAACTTCTATGCTTCAGAATGAAATGATCAATTTTCAATTATTTTTCTGCACTACTGAACTATGTTACTATATTATCGGGAGTCTGATTTTAAGTGATAATATTTTAGATTGATTTCGTCGTTGTTTAAGAAATTTTGGTAAATTCAAAAATACTTGTGTTCGTACAACTTGTAACTTAGTAAGTATATCCTCCCACTTATCTAATTTTGGGTACTAGTTAATTTTGATTAGTTAATTCTCTGTACAAGGTAAACGAAATTCGATCGTCATGGATAAACGGATCCTTAAATTGGGATAAAGTTTTCTAACTTTTAAATTTCAGGGATATTCGAGGAAAAAGAGCAAATTGGAGGTTATAATTCTATTTTATTATTGGAGAAGATGGAGCGAAACCAAAAGTACAGTTTGCCATGTTGGATTTTTAGCATAAAAGTGAAACCGCAATTAGCAAGCAGGTAATATAAAAAAAGTTTGGGCAATCCGAAAAAATAGATGATTATAAATGTACCAGTAAAAGTTTTATGGTCTGTTCATAGATAAAAGAAAGTGACCAATTGCTTTTGAATGGGATTATCCAATGGAGGTCATTAATATACAATGCAACAAGATTATTACCTAAAGTCTTGGAATTTAAATTCAGGTAAAACTGTGGTCCGTAATACAAAATAATTTTATACCTACCTGTGTTTAATATTCTTTGGTTTCTTAGTATAAGTTTATTAGTAATCATTCTTAAGGCTTCCACTTTAATAGTGTATATTTAATCCCATTGAACATGTTTGGCACCAACTGAAATCTGCCATAATAATATTTAGAACATTAACTTAAGTAGGAAATAAAAATAATTTGTAATTTTATTTTAGTTTCAACATAAATAAATAAATATTGTTTAGTATCTTTCCTAACAAAACCCCAAATAATTAAATTCTAAGCAAAGTACTGAGCTGTTCGGCCATATTTCATTCGTACAGCTTGCCCGATTCTTTCCTTAATTCGTATCAGTTAGTCACTTTCTTATATCTATGAACAGACTTTACACAACAATGTTGATGGAACAGATATACAGGGTGGCTCAAACTTGTGTGTGTGTGTGTGAATGTACTTCATGCTATTTATGTCTCTTAAATATAGCTATTAAGTTTCTTATTTTAAATGGATTTCACTATACTTAATCACAATAGCTTCTTAAAGATATAATGGGTATTCCAATAAGATGTTTCGATTGTATTTTTTGTTGCTCTTCTTATCTGAGACTTTGTTTCTGTTATTTGGTTTTTATTTTATTGTGGTATTAAGTACGATTTAGAACAACGTGTTTGGATTGTTAAAACGTAGTTTTAAAATGGATCTTTGGTGAGAGCCACATTTCGGCGAATTGGTGAATACTTTGGTGTACGCAATCGTCAATTATAAGTAACTATTCGTAAAATAGTGCAGAAATTCGAAACTAAGGGATCTGTGCAAGATATCCGAACAAAAATCCGGGAACGTCCTGCTCGTTTGGTCGAGAATATTCAGGCGGTTCATGAAAGTGTGGTTGAAAATCCATAAATGTCTGTTAAAAGGCACGCACAACATTTGGGTATTAGTCGAACTTCAATATGCAGAATTTTGAAAAAAAAAATAGTTTATTATTTACCTTGCCCTATTTATGGACGTACTAAAACTCCCGAATGTAAGAAAACTAAAAAATCTCGACTTAATATTGAAAATTACTTACGCTTCGAAGCCCATGTTTCATGGTTATTACAATATCCCTTATTTGGCTCTACGATCTAAAACATATGAATTTTAAATTTAAAGTGTCTTAAAAAAACTATGTGTCCTTCGTGAAATTTTGCCAATATAGTGATAACCCTGATATTTATACTAAGAGTCGCTTACAAAAGCTTTAAAATGTTTTATTTTCAGGTTTCGAAAATATAACAAAGTGTCCTAAAAAATAAACTCCTTTGATTGGCTCCGAACTGAAAACATTTATCAGTATCATCTAGCGGTGTTTGTCCGTAAATTACTTTCTACTTTGCCACCCTACTATTTAAGACGGCGCTTGGAGATAACCGAATATAGGAATCACCCCAACCTACTGAACTTAAAGAGAATTTTTCTATTCCCCGTTATCGATTGACTTTTGTAGTTTTATTTATTTATTTATCTATTGTAATATATAATAATGTTCCATCTCTTCTTAAAGATCTAACCCTTAACAGCTTTTGGCTCTGTTATCTATAGTGCCCTAGTAGGTTTCTCCATTTAGTTAATAACACATAAAATTCTAACCCTAATATGTACAACGTTAACCTCGCTTGTTGTTAAAATTCCCGTTATATTTTTATTTTGTAATTTCTATATATAGTAAGATATTATATATGGCTATGTATAATAAGTCGTAAGGCTTAGCCTTTTGTAAGTTTACAATAAGGACAAGAAAATAAAATAAATAAAAAAACAATAAGTTTTGCAATAACGAGGCTCATTTTCACTTAAAGGTTACATACAAATCCAAGAAATCCCCATGCATGCTGAACGTGTCAAAGTTTGGTGCGGCTTTTGGGCTGAGGGTGTCATTGGACCGTATTTTTTTGAAGATGAAGACGAACAAGTTGTTACAGTAAATGAGGTACGATAGCGAACTATGATTGATTGATGTTTTTTATGGGATGAAATAAATGACATGGATATAGAGAATATGTGGTTCCAACAAGATGGTGCAACTAGACTTAAAAAATAGTTATTCTGTTATGATTTATGCAAGTGTGTATGGTCTAAATCTGTAACAGTTAAAATTTCGTATGAATTTATTTGATTTATGGGTGTTGTTTTCAGCTCACAAATAAATATTCATTTTCTAACCTTTTGCACGTTTATTTTATTTATATATCTCTACTTATTAAATGTCCTTTGAGTGGTCTATTAGTATTTGTAAAATAAACTATTATTATTCCATTTAGAATAAGGAAGCTAGGTGCTGTGAGCCACTTATGTATGCATCATATTCACACAAACAAGTTGTGTATTTTTTTTGGTAAAATAGTGAGCTGCCCTGTATAACTCTATTTATAAGAGACACCAAATAAAATAATAGTTTTCATTATTTAGTTTGGCGCTACCAACAAAACGTTATTTGATTTAAACGTTTAGGTGTCTAAAACTTGGCTGTGTTCGCAACGACAATCACAGGATATTATGGAACCAGTCCAAGAAAAAACAAATAGGACGCAGCCTTACCCCGTAAAGAAATTTATAACCTGTAAATAACATAATATCTTTCTGCACGCCATGCTATTCCAAGGTGTCGTTGCATTTTATAGACTTATTATTAAGAGTTAATGTTTTAATAAAGGTGACTTAAAAGGGTTAATAAGATTTATTATAATCTGTTTTTTAATACGAGAAAATTATAAATCATTATTGAACTGTAAAACTAATTAAAACTTATACTTATATATTCTAATAACAATAGCTATGCTTAAGATGATATAATACGTATACCAAGTGTCCCAGACAACTAGAGCAAA